GATGGATGGATGGATGGATGGATGGATGGATGGATGGATGGATGGATGGAACAAAAGTAGAACAGAGAAATCATGTGGGGATATAGATAGATAAGATAGATCAATCTAGGATGGATAGATAGGTAGATGGATGGATGGAACAAAAGTAAAAAGCTATGAGCAGAGATGAGATCTAAAGGGAGGGGGGGGGAGAACAAGCAAGGACAGTAATACATGTATGTCCTGAAAGCAACAGAGAGGACTGTTTGTGGAAAGGAGATACCAACAAGAGGGGCAGAGGGAGGAGGGGAGGATGAATAACAACAAATATAATATCCATGTGGCAGGTAGTAATGTTAATAAAATGGCATGATGAAATCCAGATCTTTGTTGCTAATTAATAATAATAATTTTAAAAGATTATACTCCTTAATTAAAATTACATTCAAAGAAGGAAGAATATGTGTTGCATAATTATTCATCTAAAAAGCGTGTTCAAGGGCTGAAAAGAAGGCTCAGTGAGTGAAGAGGACTTGTTACTCTTGCACAGGACCCATATGGTGACTCAACTGTCTGTAATTCTAGCTCCAGAGTGTCAGTGCTCTCTTCTGTCCTCCATGGGCAAACACATGGTGCACATGTGTGCATGCATGGAAAACACAGAATAAAAATGTTTTAAAGAATCCTTAAATGGTATGTTAATAAAAACAAAACTGTGTTTGCATTTGTTAAGTAGGTAGGAGGCAGTTCATCTCTGTGGCTATTGGAAAGTTTTCATTCTGCCTGGGATAGTGCTGGAGGAAATAAAACAATTGGAGGGATTTTGAGTGACACTGGAACGCCCGGGACAGGACTATTTGGCTGATCAAGGCACACTCAGGAATCGTGTGCTTAAATTCATTGCAGCCCTGGATTGTGTCCTCAGAATGAAGCAACAAACACATGATGGGTTTTTCCATAACAAAGCAACACTGGAGAGCGAGCTGGCACCCTTGAAGTGTTTCGACTCTGCTCACTTGCCTTGGAATACAAGCAGCTGAATTGCTCATTAATAAGATCAAATTAATTTTTATTAATTTAATATGAAACATCAAACCTCACTATTCTCCATGCTTCTTATACAGCATTTTTTAAATAATGCCTTCAATGCTCACTAATAGTTCTCTACAGAAACTAGCACTAAACAGGGGCAAAAGCAGGTTGCCAAAATCACCAGTTATTTTTAGCTTTTTGTCACACCCTTTCGTGCATGTGTGGCTTTTTACAGTGTATGTTCTTATTTGTCTTCCTGAACACATGTGCACAAATGTGTGTAGAACAAAAGGCCTACCCAAAGCTTCAGTATTCCCGTAGACAGACTGCACGGGGAGAGACTCATGTATAGACCTTCATTCATCGTTTATACTTGGCCAGAGTTTAGAAGTGCCCTACTCTAGTGTGTGATGCTTGATCAAATAAAATTCTAATGTGAAGTTAAATATGTAAAAATGGATTAAAGAAAAAAAACCACTGAGCATCAAGAGCCAGCCACTGATCAACACATTGGCTGCCAACACTTCTAGGAACTGGGATTGCCATCTGGAGCTGCTCCATCATTTTATATTAAGGGAACTAATCTTGATTAATTTTAAATCTGTTAGGGGTGTGTGTGTGTGTGTGTGTGTGTGTGTGTGTGTGTGTGTGTGTGTTAAATGGTGGTCATGGCTCTCAATTCTTTCACTTTGCTTTTCAAAATAGGTTTTGGCATCCATGACCATTTGTTTCATCACATACCTATTAATTTCTATTCTTTTTCTATTGCGTTCATTAGGATGTTGGGAATTTTGTAAAAATGACTCTTGCTTCTTGCTTCTGTCTAAAAAGGTTTCGGTGGTGGTGGTGGTGGTGGTGGTGGTTTGGAGGAAGTTTTTATTTAGTGTATAAAATCTAAGTCACTTTAAATTTTCAAATTACTTAATCTCCATTAGTCTTATATCAAAATGTATAGTTTTAAGTCAATACTGTAATTTAAGTAAATAACCTTGCCTGATTCAGCTTATCCTACTTTAGTTTGGTTTGGCTCGGTTTGATTTGCCTTGTTTTAGTAGCCAGCTTAGACTGTTTTAGAAGCTTTTGACAGCCTCTCTCTTTATTTTATATGTTATGTGTATGAGTATTTTGCCTGTAGGTATGCATTGTGCATTGCATTCATGCCTACTATCTGCAGAGGTCAAAAGAAAGTATCAAATCCCTTGGGACTGAAATTATAGATGGTTGTAGGCTGCCATGTGTGTGCTAGGAATGGCCCTTGGATCCTCCTTAGAACACGTATCCTAAGCTACTGAGGCAACTCTCCAGTCCCCATCTTTCATTTTCTAACTGGGTTCTAAACGCTGGCTCTATCTGTCCGTTGAGTTCATGGTACAGTACCAGGAACACTGGGTCTTGTGCCTTCTGGAGCAAGATATTTTGGCTAGAGCAGTTTTGTTTCACTTGGTGCTGTCTTTGATATTAGACGTAAGCCAGTCTTGTTGTGACACAGTTTGTGTCACAGTTTGTGACACAGAACACAGAGACTCCTGGTTCTCCTTCAGCCACATGCCGCCATGCACAGATCTTTTGGTTTACTTTTAATATCTGCATGAGTTTTTTTAAGTAAGTTATAAATCCCTCAAATATACCCTGAAATCACATTTTGATTTAGTACTATGAAGTTGAGTATGTGGTGATGATATTTTCTCTTATTCTTCTTTTAAACATTTCTCTTTGGAATAATCTCTGACATAAAAAGTGAGAAATAGCATAAGAAAATTTGTATGTATTTAATTCATCTTCCTAAATATTAGTATTTTATGTCAGACTACTCAAATGATTCCTAAAGTCATCAACTATTATCAGGATAATATCATGTCTGTGGGAAGAGGCATATGGTGGTGAAGTCAGGCTAGCACATTCCCTCCCTGCAGGCTCTACTCTAACCTCTATTTAATCATTTAAATCAGGTGAGGTTTTATTTATTTATTTTATTAATTACACTTTATTCACTTTGTATCCCAGCTGTAGCCACCTCCCTCATCCCCCTCACAATCCCACCTTCCCTCCCTCATTTCTTCCCATGCCCTTCCCCCAGTCCGCTGATAGGAAAGGTACACCTCCCACTCCATCTGACCCTAGCATAGCAGGTCTCAACAGGACTGGCTGCATTATCTTCCTCTGTAAGGCTTCTCCCTCCTCAGGGAGAGGTGATCAAAGAGCCAGCCACTGATTTCATGTCAGAGACAGTCCCTGTTCCCATTACTAGGGAACCCACTTGGAGACTGAGGTATCATGGGCTACATCTGTACAGGGGTTCTAGGTTATCTCCATTCATGGTCCTTGGTTGGAGTATCAGTCTCAGAAAAGACCCTGTGCCCAGATTTTTTTTTTTTTAGTTCTGTTTCTCTCCTTGTGGAACCCCTGTCCCCTCCAGGTCTTTCTATCTCCCCCTTCTTTTCTAAGTTTCCCTGCACTCAGTCTAAAGTTTGGCTATGAGTCTCAGCATCTGCTTTGATACCTTACTCAGTGGAGTCTTTCAGAGGCTCTCTGTGGTAGGCTCCTGTCCTGTTCCCTGTTTTCTGCCTCTTCTGATGTTGGTCCCTTTTGCCTTTCTGAGTGAAGATTGATCATCTTACCCAGGGTCCTCCTTGCTTAGTTTCTTTAGGTGTACAGATTTTAGTATGTTTATCCTATATTATATGTCAAATATCCACTTATAAGTGAGCGTATACCATGTGTGTCTTTCTGCTTCTGGGATATCTCTTTCGGGATGATCTTTTCTAGTTCCCACCATTTGCCTACAAATTTCATAATTTCCTTGTTTTTAATTGTATAAATGTACCACAATTTCTGTAGCCATTCCTCACTTGAGGGACATCTGGGTTGTTTCCAGACTCTGGCTATTACCAATAAAGTTGCTACAAACATGGTTGAGCAAATGTCCATATTGTATATTTGGGCATCTTTTGGAATATATGCTTAGGAGTGTTATACTGGATCTTGAGGTATCACTATTTCTAATTGTCTGAGAAAGCACCAGGTTGATTTCCAAAGTGGTTGTACAAGTTTACATTCCCACCAGCAATGGAGGAGGGTTCCCCTTTCTCCACATCCTCTCCAGCATGTATTGTCACTTCAGTTTTTATCTTAGCCATTCTGAAGGGTGTAAGGTGAAATTCAGGGTTGTTTTGATTTGCATTTCCCTGATGACCAAGGACATTGAGCATTTCTTTAAGTGTTTCTCTACAATTCGGTATTCCTCAATTGAGAATTCTCTGTTTCGCTCCGTACCACATTTTTTAATTGGATTACTTGATTTGTTGCTTTTTAATTTCTTGAGTTCTTTCTATATTCTGGATATTAGCCCTCTGTCAGATACAGGGTTAGTGAAGATCCTTTCCCAGTCTGTAACCTGTTGTTTTGTTCTGGCGACAGTGTCCTTTGCTTTACAGAAGCTTTTCAGTTTCATGAGGTCCCATTTATTGATTGTTGCTCTTAGAGCCTGTGCTGTTGGTGTTCTGTTCAGGAAGTTGTCTCCTGTGCCAATGAGTTCTAGGCTCTTCCCCACTTTTTTTCCAACATGTTTAGTGTGTCTGGTTTTATTTTGAGGTCTTTGATCCACTTGGACTTTAGTTTTGTGCAGGGTGATAAACATGGATGTATTTGCATTTTTCTACATGTAGATATCTAGTTAGACCAACACCATTTGTTGAAGATGCTGTCTTTTTTCTGTTGTATGGTTTTGGCTTCTTTGTCAAAAATCAGGTATCCATAGCTGATTTCTTTCTCAGCCCTTGGTCTTTGGTATACAGGAGAGCTACTGACTTTTTTTGAGTTAATTTTGTATCGAGCCACTTTGCTGAAGGTGGTTATCAGCTGAAGGAATTCTCTGGTTGACTTTTTGGGGTCACTTATATATACTATCATATCATCTGCCAGACGAATTTTTTGTTTGGCTTTGGCCTTTTTGTTTGTTTGTTTTTCGAGACAGAGTTTCTCTGTGTACCTGTAGCCTTCCTGGACTTGCTTTGTAGACCAGGCTGGCCTCTAACTCACAGAAATCCGCCTACTTCTGCCTCCCTGAGTGCTGGGATTACAAGTGTGGACCACTTTGCCCAGCTTCAGATGAGTTTTTTTTTTTTATGTTAAAATCAATTTGTAACAGATTTTCAAATATCACAAAACGATGAGTCACTGCCCTTTTAATATATTAAGTGTTTCTTACTTTGGGTGGGAAGCAGTGGACTGGGTGGTGGATGATGAAGTTGAAGCTTTTCCAGTCCAGGACCTAGGAGGTGTGACATGGTGCTTTCTGTACCTATGGAGAAAAACTTCTTAGAGTAGGAGTTTTCAAGGTCAACAAATTGGTATGACATTCCAATGCAGAAATGAGACTTTACAGCATACAGAGACAAAAGAAAGGCAAGGTGTTTAGGTAGCAGGTCATCAGGAACTAAAGTTTTCCTAAACAGGCTTCTAAACGAACAGTATCATTGTATGTGCAGCCCACAGATCATGGATTAAAAAAACAAAACAAAACAAAACAAAACAAAAAAAAAAAACACCACACTTAAATATATAGAATAAAGCCTAGGGCTGTGAAGCAATCTCACTGTATCAGTGTAGCTATGTAATAGTTAGACATGTCACCTGTGGCATCGTAAAAATGTTTTTGTTAACATTAAGTATCAAAATAGTCAAAGGTCTGCTCGCTATATCATTTCAAACAGTGATATGTGAAATGGTATTGCAAGAACAGTATAGAAAAAAAAATAATGTATAAATGCCTGTTAATGGCAAATCCCAGAATGCTAGCTAGAGCTGTGCCCTTGTTGAATGTTCTCATCTTTGCTTACAAACTGCCTGCATTCTATCTGTGAGTCTCTTAGAGGTCTTCAGGACAGGTTTTCTAACACTGAATACAGCCAACTTTGAAGCATGGAGGTATACAGAGCACTGTTCACAGTGAAAACTAAGGAATGGGGGAGGGGGTTAGGAATGTGAGAGAGAATGAGGAGGAAGGGGTTACAGGAGACAGGCAAGCTAGCATCAGCCCTGTGGCCAATGCCTGACTAGTTCTTCCTAACCCAATACCACATCTTCCCAGACTTGTAAAGCAAAGCTGTCTTCTGAGCAAGAAGAAGTTGGTTAATGCTGGATCTCTGACTGGGTAAGGTGCTATGTAACTCATGCAACTGGCAGCGCATTCAGGACTAATGTGAGCTGGAATCATCTGGACTTGTGCTTTTCAGTAGACTAAAAGGCAAACCGCAAATTTCCTGATCAAACTGAAAAACTTAAAACCAAGGGTTGGGGAGATGGTCATACACGCAAGAGGGACTGAGTTTGACCCCCAGAACCCAGGTTTAAAATTAAAATAATAAAATAATAATTTTTAAAAAGCCAGTTGTGGAAGTGCACACCTTTAGCCTCAGCCCTGAGAGGCAGAGGCAGACAGATGGCGTAGCCTACCTGAAGAGCCTCAAATCAAAGAGAAACCCCATCTCAAAATAAAGTAAGCATCGTTCCTGAGGAACAAAACTGCAAGTTGTCCTCTAGTCTATATACACACTAATAATAAATTAACATTATTAAAAAGAAATTAATATATTTTATTACCAAAAAGATAGCTTTAATATATATCCAAAACAAATTTAGTTTTTCTTTCTTTCTTTCTTTCTTTCTTTCTTTCTTTCTTTCTTTCTTTCTTTCTTTCTTTCCTTACTCTTCTTCTTTTGTTTGTTTGTTTATTTGTTTTTTAGATATAATCTCTGTGTGCAGCACTGGATAGCCTTGAACTCACAGAGATCCACCTGCTTCTGCCTCCAAACTTGGCATGCCGTTAATTCCTACATAGCGAGTTCTAGGCCAAACAGGACTACATAATGAGACCCTGTCTCAAACAAACAAGCAAAAAACCACTGAAACAAAGAACAAAAGAAATATTCTGTAAGATTGACCATATTTTAGACCATAAAAACTGATCTCAGCATTAAAAGCATGTAACTCCATGGTGATTTCCTCTGTTCTGCAGTCTCACTGTATAACCCAGGCTAGCCTGGAGCTCACAGAGTTGCTCACTCCCAAGTGCCCCTGTAATGGGTATGCAACACCACCCAGGCTGCTTTCCTATTTCTTAAATATCTGCTGAGTGTCTAAAACTGACATTACATCTAATTTATATCGAATACCTTTCAAGTACTCATGTGCTCCCTGCGAATGGCTCCCATATAGACATCTGGAAAACAACCACAACAAAACACCCTTTGCACAGGACAGCTTTTCCTATATTACGGTAGAGCAGTGGTTCTTAACCTTCCTAACACTGTGGCCCTTTAATGCAGTTCATCACGTTATGGAGACCCCACCATGAAACTGTTTCATTGCTCTTTCACGACCATACTTTTGCTACTGTTATGAATCGGAATGGAACTATTTTATGTGCAGGATATCTAATATGCAAGCCCTGTTGGAGATGCACTGCACTGAGTAAAGTGATAAGCATTTAAATTCTTAGGTAAGAGAATGCCGCAGGGCTTTAGATCAAAAGCAAAATACTCAGCTCAATTTCCGTAGTGCAGACAAGGATATCCAAGTTGTCCTTCCACACAAGAACATGAAAACCGGTCTCTGACAGTATGCCAAGAGTTTGAGAAATTCTAAATTAGGTTTGTGACAGTCTTCAATTTATTCCACTTTAGCTGTCCCAATCAAATGTATCCATGATTCTTTACTTTCCATGATAAAGAATAATATGCCTGGTGTGTAAAATAGAAAGTGTTTGTGCTGAAGGTTGCATTAAACTGTTGCAACTATCTCATCCTGGGCCTTGGCTGGCATTTGCTTAATCCATTCAGGCTTCTGGGTACCCTCGGAACTCGATGCACCAGAACTAGTGGAGAACTCAGCCCCAGGCAGCCCCCTTCTTCCCAGGGAGCACAGAAGGCCTGCAGAATTGCTTAATTCTACTCTCTTCTCTTCATTTAAATTGATTTTCTTTAAATTATCCTCCTAGTAAATAAACTGAAAATACTTAAATATTCATTTTCACAAAGAAATGCAAGTATGCAAATAAGAAATCTTTTTCTTCTCCTTAATTATTATACATTAAATGTATAAGCTTCTTGAGCATTGCTAAGCCTTCATGGTTCACAATTCCAATGAAAACAACCTTCAAGTGTCAGTTTTATGACACTTGAATAAGATAATCATTTATCTTATGATGAATGATTTACGAATAGTCATTTCCAGGGCTAGCCTGTTGGGATAGAAACAAGTTCCCTCCATTGCGGGCAGTCCTATCATCAGCACGTAGTGTTGAAACAAAGCAGTAGACAAAGCGATGGCTTGGAGACCTGTACAGCTCACCTCTGGCATGAGCCTGAGGCTACGGCTCAAGAACCCTGGTGAGTACCTGGCATTCTGCACATCACTGTATCCCAGGCAGCTGTGCACTGCCTTCTGCCTCTGGTCTCTCCGTATGGAATGTTGGCCTGAGTAGACTGACAGCTGTCAATTTCTATTGCTGCTTTGGTCACTGACTTGATCTATCCTTTCAACCTGGCCTCTGCCCTCAGTCCAGTCTGATTCACTCCGCTTGTGTCCCTGTCTGATTCCTGAAAGTCTGTCCTATGGAAATATTTAAAGTGAATTGGGTGCACATATCTGAAGATGTTCCACACACATAAGGCAATTTTGAAAGCAAAAATATTCCCTGAAGAAGACTAGCCAAGCCTATAATCTCCAGTCAGTGTAGCAGAGCATAGGCATTCTATATGTGACCATTGAGACTCACACTGGCTTATTCTCTGGCACATAGGGCAGTGTAGGTTCTTTCTAAAGGACTGGATACAACTTCGTGGTTGAACGAGGTGGGCACTGTGATTGATGTCTGTCCAGATTCTCTAGAGCCAGTGCACCTGAATAGTCCTGTGCACTTCTTGTTCAACCTCAAGGCAACACCAGAGAGACTAAAAGAGCTAAGACAGGACTACGGCCCTTGTGGCAGTTTGTTGCTTTGCACGCGCCTCACTGCATGAGCTGTGTTTATGTCCACAAGCATGGGTGTCTACGCTAGAAAATATATTCTTCCTTGGAGAATCTTGCCTTGGAGAAAATATAAACCAGTCTGTCACAATCGCGGCTCATCTCCCCAGAACTGAACTTTTCAAAAGACCTTTACCATTTGTTGTTGTTCATTTGCTCTGTTGGTTTCTTTGGGGCTTCTTGTCATTATTCTTTTGAGACAAGCTCTGACAGTGTAGACTGTCCTGGACTGCCCTCAGACTTACAGAGATCCACCTGCCTCTGCCTCCTGGGTGCTAGGATTAAAGGTAGGTGTGCCATCACACCTAGCGTTGAGCTTTTAGAAATGGTGTATTGCTCTGTAGTCCAAACATGGACAAAATAATATGAATGAGTGTGTGGACAGTCTTTGCATTGTCAGCAGTTTCTCATTGGTGCTTCTTAGAAACACTTTTTAGAAGGCATCACAAGTAATTTAGAGTCTCATAGTTGTTTCTCTTTTTTGTATCACTTGACAAAATATCTTTTAACACATTTTTAATAGGTCTTTGTCAGCTGTGAAGAGACAACATGAACATGGCAACTCTTACTAAAGGAAGCATTTAATTGAGGCTTGTGTACAGTTTCAGAGCTTTAGTCCCTTGTCATCATGGCAAGAAGTATGGCGTCACAAAGGCAGACATGGTTCTGGAGAAGTAGCTGAGAGTCCTATACATCCAGATCCATAGGCAGCAGAAAGAGAGGCAATGGGCTAAGCTTGGGCTTTCAAAGCCTGAAAACACACCCCAAGTAACATAGTTCCTCCCAAAAGGCCTAACCTCCTTATCCTTTCAAATAGTACCACTCCTGATGACTAAGCTTTCAGATATATGAGCCTGTGGGGGCTATTCTTATTTAAACAACCACAGTCCCTAAGGTAAGTGATGTCTTTAATACAAAGAATGGCTCCTAACTAGTACACAGCCTGAGGTAGCCTCTGAATGGCCTGGCCTCCCTGTATACCCTCTCTTCTTTTCAGTCAGGGTGGCTCATGTACTTTATCGGCACTGGTACTGTGTCACTTCTGAGATTTAAGTGTCAAAGCCCTGGCTTCTGTTTGGACATTCTCCCTCTCTTGATGGTTCACCCGAGAAACCAGCTTTCCACATAGAGGCCTCTGTGGCGAGTGACTAAGGCCTGTAAATGGCCACATGAGTGAGTTTGGAAATGGATCCTCCCCAGAGAGACTCACTGACACTGAAACCCTGCCAGCGCCTTAACTGCAGCATCACCTAGGCCTTGAGTCAGGACAACCAGCTACTGGGTTAGATACTATAATTTAACCTGCTGAGTTTGGAATCATTGGTGCACAACAACAGATAACCAATACCATACAATCACCAATCCTATTATGTCTACTTACGTGGTGGTTTGAATAAAAAAGCTTCCATAGGCCTCATAAGGGGTGGCCCTATTAGGAAGTGTGGCCTTGGAGGAAGTGGGTCTCAGGCTTTGAGGTCTCAGAAGTTCAAGCCTGGCCAGTGTGTCACAGTCTCTTCCTGCTGTCTACAGATCAAGATGTAGCACTCTCAGCTCCTTCTCCAGCGCCATGTCTGTGTGCATGCCACCATGCTTACTTCCATGATGAAAAAATGAGCTCAGAACTGTAAGCCAACCCCAATTAAATGTTTTCCTTTATAAGAGTCTCCATGGCCATGCTGTCTCTTCACAGCAATAGAACACTAACTAGGACAGCTTGATTGACCAAAACAAATTCTAGATTGGGGGACACATGCCTGTGCAAATGTGCACACCCACGTGTGTGCAGATGGAGGGCAAAGGTCAAGCCACAGCTATCTTCTGAGGATATTTTTTGAGACAGGGTCTCTTAACAAACCTGGAGTTTACTGATGACTGGCCTTGCTGGCCAGTGAGTGACTGGGATCCCACTTTCGCTACCTGCCAGCACTACCACAGCCAGGCTTTTATGTGGATGCTGAGGACCCAAACTCAGGTCCTCATGATTTACCCATTGAACCATCTCCCTAAATCCTCAAACCTGGATTTTTAACTTTCTGTAGCGTCTTACCAATATAAGTACTTGGTAAACAACTGGCAAATCCATCTTTCTCTGCTCCATTCACATTGATCATTTAAGCCACTCTTATCTCTACCATCATTTTCTACCAAGACTACTAAGTTAGTAGTCACCGAGCTGTTTCTTACCTGTCTTCCAGCTCCTTAGCCAGCACAACTGTGTTAAAACTTTTCAGGTGACTGGATTTATACTACATTGGCAGGAATGAGACCTGTCTTCAAACCCCTGCATAAATAAGTAAACAAGAAAAAAATTTTCAGGGCTAGGGAGATGGCTCAGTGATGAAGAGCACCTATTGCTCTTCTAAAGGACCTGAGTTTGGTTCCTAGCACCCATGTCAGATAACTTACAACTATCTCTTAACTCTAGTCCCAGAGAAATCAATGCCTCTGGACTTCATGGGCACTCTAACTCATACGCAAATACCCCCAAGTGTGCAAACACACACAATTTAAAATAATAAAAGCAGAATCTTAAAAATAATACCTGCTCCATCTGTCTTTGACTGAGAGAAAATTACTCTTGAGTCCTTTCTCAAAGCACCTGGCCAGTGTGTCACAGTCTCTTCCTGCTGCCTACAGATCAAGAAGTAGGTCAAAATGGTTCGGTCAAAATGCCATCTCTGGGTCTCTCCTGTCTAGGCCTCTTCCCCCAGACTGACACTTTCAGTTCCCCTCTGCCTTTGCCCAGCCTGTCTGTCTGTCTGTCTGTCTGTCTTGACTGGAAGGTTCCATGTGCTGCACTGCACTAAAAGCAGCTCAGCTTCAAGTCTCAGCTCAGGCTCAGGCCCTGCTCCTTCCCCTGTGGAGACCCCCTGGAAAGCCACCCCCTCTTTCATCCCCTGGGATTCCCTGCACTACTCACCAGCAAAGCCTCACAGGTCTTGCCCCATGACTGTTAATGGAGCTTATCCTTTGTGTTGAGGCTTTGAGCAGGAAAAATGTCTGCTAAAATGTGAAAACACTTTATCAGTCACAGCTTTTCATAGGTTCGGCTACTGCCACTGTCCTTTGTTTTTCCTGAAATACACCAAAATGGTAAAACTTTCTTCTTATAGATTATTCAATACAATGCAAGTGAGATATTATGGTGCCATGCACTTCTTCAGTTTAGAGAAACTACGATAAGCCAACAATCACATGACCAGCGAGTTTCAAAATCAAGAGCAGCACACGTAATTCTGTTATGGGGGTAGAGGATCAAGATAAGCTCTCTTGTGCAGCCTTGGCTGTCCTGCAATTTGCTCTGTAGACCCGGCTGGCCTCAGACTCAGATCCACTGGCTTCTACCTCCCAAATGCTGGGATGAAAGACATGTGCCACCACTTTTGGCTAACACACATAATTCTTGAATCTGCCTTCCACCCAGACCTCTCAGAACCACTTCCTCTCTCTTCAAAAGCTCACACTTCCACTGATTTTGTTTCTTTCTGTGTACGAGCCAGGCAACATCATCAAAACCCTGCATATGCTTTAGAAGCCTTAGCCAAGAAGATTTTACATGAGTAATGAATCAAAACTAGAAGATTCATACCCATAAGAACTCTTAAAGGTACTTTTTCTATTCTACCAGTGATAAAAAATGAGTGTTTCACATCACCATATAGTCAATGTTAAAGCAATAACTTTTAATTAATTTTAAATACTCATCTCCTCTCTCCTTCCCCTCCCTCCAACTCCTCCTGCAATCCTCCTACTCCTCAAAAATCACAGCCTCTGATTCTTTGTTATTGTTACACACATTTATAAATACAACCTGCTGAATCTGCTTAGTGCTGCTTATATATGTATGCTTTAGGGGTGACTGCTTGGGGCTCTTCCCTGGGAAAGACCGATCCTCCTCGAAGCAGCCATTGATTCCCCATAGCTCTTTATCTATGAGGCCGTCTAAGATTGCCCTATTCACATTGGCATGTCAGTTGATATCATTTTTTAGGTCTTATTCGGGCAATCATATTGTTGAGATTTCACAGGTGTTACATCCCCATCTCTGAAGTCAATACCTCAGGGCAGACTTCCTGCTCCTCTAGCCCATACTGTCTTTCCACCTCATCTTCCATGAGGTTCCCTGAGCCTTGGGTGTAAAGTTTGTTCTGTAGATTTGTCAGCAGGGGCTGGGTACCATGGTCAGTTCATCTCTGCATTTTGATCTGATAAGGCTTTGTGTAATCTCTCAGAAATTATGTTTAGGAAAATGCAATGGTTGGTTCTACTCTCCGACCCATGGCCTCACCAGCTACGGATAGTGGGCTAGGTGTACCAGGCATGAATTTCCTTCTCTTGAGTGGATCTTAAGTCCAGCTGTGTGGCTGTGATTGTTCCCAGGAGAGAAACGCCACGCCACTGCTGCTCCTGTCTTGCTGTATCTGGAGCTAGGCCTGCCAGTGTGGAGAGGGCTCAGAGATGGCTCAAGCCATAACTTTGAGCTCACTTTCCAGCCTCATCCAGTTGGATTTTTTTACTATTCATACAAGAAAAAAATAACTTAAAAGATTAGGTTTTATTATTTACTATTTTCCAAATGTCTATTATATATATTATATATATATATATATATATATATATATATATAATATTATATAAATATATACTAAATTTGGTGTTTGTAATTTGATTTTTAGGTAATTTCTTTTTTAAGTTGTTTTTTTGTTTGTTTGTCTGTCTTCTTGTTTGAGACATGATCTCATTATGTAGCCCTGGCTACCCTGAAACTCTCTATGTTAGAGCAGGCTGGCATTGAACTAACAAAGATCTTCCGGCCCTGAGACTAAGTGTGTGCAGGAAGACCTGGCCTTTTTCAGTTTTTGGTTGTTTGGATGGCTGCCATGTAGGAAGTTTTACAACCATCCCCTCCCACACAGCACCACCACCACTTGCTTTCTCTAGAAAAAAGGAAACCTACTCCATATTGTGGCAAACATAAATTGAAACTGTTAAGCTCAGGCTATGCCCTGCTCCAAGTCACTCCATCTTGTATATAACTGTTCTCAGGTTGTGGCTTGCCCGAAAAGACTCCATTTTAGAAGCAAATATAGGGCTAGCCATAGCCCCGGTGGACACAAAACCACAACCTCGGGTATTGCTCATCCAGCACGGCTGGTGAATGACTTACTTTTGGAAGTAGAAAGGAAGCCCGCCTATATGTTTATTAGGTGAATTAAGTCTGTAGGAGTACATGGGCGTATTAAAATCTACCCATCAGACATGCCAGACCAAGGAAAAGCAGGAGCTCCCTTATCTGGACCCTGACACTACTATGGTTACCTGGCCCCACAACTATCACTTGATACCTGCTGTGTGCATTGAGGACTTACCCCCTGTCCTTAGAGCTTCGGCTCAGCTTGCTGTTGACTAATGCTATCCCCACTGACTGCCTATCGGCAAGTTGTCCCATCTGGGCATGAACCTGAACTAGCTATTTCCTGCTCTCAGCCCTCCACCTCACAACTGGAACAGCTTCATTCTAAAACCCTGACTCCAGCAGCTCCAGCCAACAGCGGTTCCCTGCCAGCACTGGTTTGGTTCACTTTCTTATCAATACAGACTCTTTCTAAAGCCTCTTAAACTCTGCTGCAAGTCTCTTACACTTGTATTCCTTCTGTCACCCATATATGTGCATTGGCAAACCAGCCTGCCTCCATCTTAGGCTTGAAAACCATCATATAATTAAAACAAAGTAGATTAACTCCTCTTTGCGAGTAAATCTGTTTCTCAAGGATTGGGCTACACCCACTTGTAACCTTAACTATAGTAATGGATCTGTACTGCCAGTTCCAGGAAATGGCAAGCATGGCTTTGTTTCAAGAGGTTGTTGTGACCACCCTGTTACTACTTTGTTATTATGACTATCTTACCGCCATGTCTTTGTCTCACAAGACGTTGTTGTGGCCAAATTGTTATGCTTCTGTTCTGCCTCTGTAACCCCACCTATTTGCCTGCCAAATTCCCCATTGGAAACCGCCAAATGGGGTTATGCTTCTGAACTATAAAAACCCTTATTCCTATGTCCAATGCTGATCTCTTGAACCCCAACTTTGGGGAGAGATAGCCCATGTACGTGAATTTATAAAAGCTTACTTTAATCAATTACTTGCTTTAACTAACTTGGCCATGACTTGGGTCAGTGGTCTCTCTCCTTGAATCTGTGGTATTCACAGCATATAGCTAGGTTTACCATAGCTGTGTGGTATGTGATGTAAGAGTAAGAATAATAATTAAGACTGGAATGAAAGAACTTGCATCTACCTGAGCCAGGCTACAAGGTAGGCTGTGGGGTGAAATGGCTAACCTTGAAAATTGACTATTATTCAGTGAATCCTGACATTGTGGAGAGACATAGATTTGTTTGTCTGTGTTTCAGGCATAGTAGGCTCATGGACTATTTGCATGTATGGCAAAGACAAAACCCATGAAGCAATCCGTGCTCCTCTCGAGAGTATTTACAGCAACATCTATGTGTTATTTCAGTTAATGGCTGTGTGGGCTGTCATGGTTTCACATGTATCTTCACATAGCAGCCTCACAAGAATCCAAGATGGCTATGATCACCCCTATTCTGCAAGGGACAGACACAGAAAGAATCGAAACATTCCTACCATTGACAAAAGTACAAATAGAAACCACAAACAGTGAGTTTTTGAATGTCCTATGCTGGTGGTATGTAGTACTCTCTGAAGCAAGGGGCTCAAGGGTCAGAAGCAAGTTCTCATAAAAGCTGAAACCACAGGTTGGTGGGGGGGAGGTTGCTCTTATGTGCTTAGCATGTGCAGGTGCCGCAAGTTCTATTCTTAGCCCTACAAAACAAAAACAAGATCCATCTGGAGCCACAACTTGAACTTTCAGCTTTTATTTTCATGGCTTAAGGCCAAAGTTCTGTGCATGCTAAGCAAGTGCTTTATCTGTGAGTCATTCCCAGCCAAGTTCATGGGTTTCTGCTGGAGCGTATGAGCCCTGGGAAAAGACCATAGACACATAATTAAAAGACATATTGATTAGCTGCTAGCAGGATGAACAATCTCTGAGACATATTGAGATTGCCTTCTAGGAGGCATGTGAGGAAGGACTTTTAAAGGGGAAAACCACAAGAAAGACCTTCAATATCTATGAAAGCATGCAAAAAAAAAAAAAGTTTTGATCTGCCTAGTAAGTGATTAAGGCAATGCAAAACAATCTTTGGATGTCTACATAAGCAAGTTATAGAAGAAAAAAAAAGGCATTTAGTCATATCATAACAAGATAACAAGTAGATACTCACAGCTGTATATTTTTGGGTAGGTGTCACTGAGTCAAGGTTACTGGGAAGTTATCTTCCAGGGACTGACGTCATAGACAAGTGGCTGGTAGATTCTGAGATAGATGCCTAGCACAACCTGGAGCTTATTTAGCCATAACATTCTCCACTGGCTCTAGAGCATATGAATCAAATCATTGACTCACATTTATGTAGGGTTAAAGGTTGATATTTTAATTAAGCCGTTCAATCAGATTCCAGCCCCCATCTTGAGTAACCCTTTCTGTAACTCTGATGTTAACAGGTATTTATAATACTGAAGGAGCCTAGAGGCTAGCATGAGCTCTGATATGTCAATAGGAACCCTAGAGAGCCACTTCTCTTTTGGCAGGGAAATGACTCCTTTGGTAGAAGGAATCTAGTTTCCTTTAAACCTAACAGCCTTTTGTTAATGATGAGGGATGACAGTCTCTTCTGTAAGTGTTCCTCAGCTGAAATAGGATGTTGTTGTCAGCACCCAGGAAGGCTGGAATGATCGGTTGTCAAAGGCCTGGAGGGAACAGAGTACGTCTGGTTTGTTGTCCATGTTTTGTTGGACCATCTGAGGCTAGTGAAGTGCAGGTGGCCTTGGGGCAGTGTGGAAAGCTAGTCCAAAGTTGGGGCTCAAGCAGTTAGGACGCTTTTTCAGAAGCATCTGGTTTGTATTGG